AATGCCCCAATCAAAAGACACAGGGTAGCTGAATGGATAAGAAAACATGACCCACACATATGCTGCCTACAAGAGACCCACCTCAGAGCAAAAGACCTACACAGATTGAAAGTAAAGGGATGGAAAATAATATTCCAAGCAAATGGACATGAGAAAAAGGCTGGCGTTGCCATACTTGTATCAGACAAAGTCGATTTCAAAGCAAAGGCCATAAAGAGAGATCCAGAGGGGCACTTTATCATACTTAAAGGAAGAATCTATCAAGAAGACATCAACATTGTAAACTTATATGCTCCCAATATAGGAGCCCCCAAGTTTATAAGGAAATTGTTGGATGACTTCAAAAAAGATATAGATAGCAACACACTGATAGTAGGGGATTTCAACACCCCACTGTCAAAAATGGACAGATCTTCCAAACAAAACATTAATAAACATATCGTGGCGCTGAATGAAACACTGAATCAAAGAGACTTAACTGACATATATAGAATCTTACATCCCAAAGAAGAAAAATACACATTCTTTTCAAATGCTCATGGCAGTTTTTCAAAGATAGACCACATGATAGGACACAAAGCAAGCCTCAGTAAATTCAGGAAAATTGAAATAATACCAAACTTTTTCTCGGACCACAAGGCCTTGAAACTCGAAATCAAACTCAAAGAGAAACTTCAAAAACTTGGAAACTCATGGAGACTGAACAGTACACTATTAAACAATGAATGGGTCAATAATGAGATAAGAGATGAAATCAAAAAATTTCTGGAAACAAATGAAAATGAACAGACAACTGTCCAAAACCTATGGGACACAGCAAAGGCGGTCCTGAGAGGGAAGTTCATAGCAATACAGGCTTACCTTAAAAAGATAGAAACATTTCAAATAAAAGACCTAACACTACAACTTGAAGAACTGGAGAAACAACAACAAATAAATCCCAGAGCAAGTAGAAGGAAGGAAATAGTCAAGATTAGAGCAGAACTGAATGACATAGAGACAAAAAGAACAATTCAGAGGATCAACCAATCCAGAAGCTGATTCTTTGAAAAGATTCATAAAGTGGACAAACCTTTAAGCAGACTCATCAAGAAAAAAAGGGAGAGGACCCAAATTAATAATATCAGAAATGAAAGAGGAGAAATAACAACTGATACCACAGAAATACAAATGATTATCAGAAACTATTATGAACAATTATATGCCAAGAAATTTGAAAATCTTGATGAAATGGACAAATTTTTAGAAAAGTATAATCTTCCAACACTGAAGGAGGAAGAAACAGAAAGCTTGAACAGACCGATAACAGTTGGGGAAATTGAAGCAGTAATCAAGAAACTCCCAGCACACAAAAGCCCAGGGCCAGACGGTTTCCCAGGAGAATTTTACAAAACATTTAAGGAAGAGCTAACCCCTGTCCTTCTCAGACTATTCCAAAAAATCCAAGAGGAGGGAAGACTGCCAGACTCCTTCTATGAGGCCAGCATCACCCTGATCCCAAAACCAGATAAAGACCCTACAAAGAAAGAAAACTACAGGCCAATTTCGCTGATGAACATAGATGCTAAAATCCTCAACAAAATATTGGCAAACCGCATCCAGCAATACATTCAAAAGATTATCCATCACGATCAAGTGGGATTCATCCCAGGGATGCAGGGATGGTTCAATATACGCAAATCAGTAAACGTGATACACCACATAAATCAAAGAAAAGACAAAAACCACATGATCATCTCGATGGATGCAGAAAAAGCATTTGACAAGGTACAGCACCCATGTATGATCAAAACACTCAGCAAAATGGGAATAAATGGGGCATTCCTCAACGTAATAAAGGCCATATATGAAAAACCTACAGCCAATATCATACTCAACGGGCAAAAACTGAAAGCTTTCCCACTAAGATCGGGAACACGACAAGGATGTCCGCTCTCACCGCTTCTTTTCAACATCGTATTGGAAGTCCTAGCCACAGCGGTCAGACAAGAGAAAGAGATAAAAGGCATCCAAATAGGAAAGGAGGAAGTAAAACTATCATTGTTTGCAGATGACATGATAGTGTACATACAGAACTCTGTAGACTCTACCAAAAAACTCCTCAACCTAATAAGTGAATTTGGCAAAACAGCAGGATACAAAGTCAACATTCAGAAATCAAAGGTGTTTTTGTACACCAGCAATGCAATAGAAGAAGAAGAAATCAGGAAAAATATACCATTCGATATAGCACGAAAAAAGATAAAGTACCTAGGGATAAATTTAACCAAAGACACAAAAGACCTGTATGCAGAAAACTATGCAACATTGAAAAAAGAAATTAAGGAAGACACAAATAAATGGAAGCATATACCGTGCACATGGATTGGAAGAATTAATATCCTTAAAATGTCCATACTACCAAAAGCAACTTATAGATTCAACGCAATCCCTATTAAGATACCAATGACGTATTTCACAGAAATAGAACAGACATTTCAAAAATTTATATGGAACCATAAACGACCTCGAATAGCCGCAGCAATTTTGAGAAAGAAACACAAAGTAGGAGGGATCACAATACCGGACATCAAACTCTACTACAAAGCCACTATACTCAAAACAATCTGGTACTGGCACAAGAACAGACCCATAGACCAGTGGAACAGAATAGAAAGCCCAGAAACAAGCCCAGATCTCTATGGACATCTAATATTCGACAAAGGGGGCAGAAGCATAAAATGGGGCAATAACAGCCCCTTCAACAAATGGTGTTGGGAGAGCTGGATGGCTACATGCAAAAAATTGAAATTGGATCATCAGCTGACACCATACACAAAAATAAACTCAAGATGGATAAAAGACTTAAATATAAGTCGCAACACCATCAAAGTCCTAGAGGAGAACATTGGCAGGAAACTCTCAGATATCCCACGCAGCAATTTTTTCACTGATATGTCTCCTAAAGCAAGGGACATAAAGGAAAGAATAAACAAGTGGGACCTCATCAAAATAAGAAGCTTCTGCACGGCTAAAGAAAACATCAGCAAAATGAAAAGGGAGCCAACCATTTGGGAAAATATATTTGCTAATGATACATCAGATAGAGGTTTGATCTCCAAGATATATAAAGAACTCACTCGACTTTACTCCAAGAAGACAAACGATCCAATCAAAAAATGGGCAAAGGACCTGGGCAGACGCTTTTCTAAGGAGGAGATACAGAGGGCCCAGAGGCATTTGAAAGGATGCTCTGCATCACTAGCCATCAGAGAAATGCAGATCAAAACCACCATGAGGTACCACCTCACACCGGTCAGAATGGCCATCATAAACAGATCCACAAACAACAGGTGCTGGCGAGGCTGTGGAGAAAAGGGAACCCTAGTCCACTGTTGGTGGGAATGCAGACTGGTGCAGCCACTATGGAAAGCAGTGTGGAATTTCCTCAGAAAGCTGAAAATGGAACTGCCTTTTGATCCAGCGATTCCCCTGCTGGGACTATACCCTGAGAACACCAAAACGCCAATACAAAAGAACCTATGCACTCCAATGTTCATAGCAGCACAATTTACAATAGCCAAGGGTTGGAAGCAACATAAATGCCCATCAGTAGATGACTGGATCAAAAAATAATGGTACATATACACAATGGAATACTACGCAGCAGAAAGAAAAAAAGAAGTACTAAACTTTGCGACAGCATGGATGGAACTGGAGAGCATCATGCTAAGCGAAATAAGCCAGGGGGCGAAAGACAAATACCATATGATCTCACCTATAAGCGGAACCTAACCAACAATGCAAAGAAGCAAGGCAAATATGACCAGCAACACTGAAAGGAAAAGAAATCAACAGAGACAAGAGGGAAGGGGCGGGCAGGGAAAGGGAAGGGAAGGGGAAAGTCAAGGAACATATAGCAAGGACTCATGGACAAAACCAAAGGGGAAGAGCTGAGGGAGGGAAGGTGGGAGGGGGCAAGGGAAAGAGGTGGGGGGAAGGCAGAGACAAATGTATTTAAAAAGTAAATAAATTAATTAAAAAGAAATAAAAAAAATAAAAAACAAATAAAGTAAAAAAATAAAAATAAATAAATAAAAAATAAAAAATTAAGTCTTAAAAAAAAGACATTTGTTATTTTACTGTTTGTGGTATTTCAGAATGTGAGAATATATTTTTATATTGATGGTTCTGGCAGATTTATGAAATCATTTTGCAATGAACATTTATGTCAGCATATTCCTTTAATTTGCTGATAAAATAACAGTTATAATAGCTTATATGTCAAACATTTATTAAGTCCTAGACATTGTGCTAAACACTTTTCCTACATTATCATATATAACTCTCATCACTAGAATAATAGACATTCAGTAAATATGTGTTGAATGAGTTAAATGACTCAATACCTATTTTAGAGATAAGAAAATTAAAGCTAGAAATGTTTAAATGCTTTTCTTCATTACACAGCTAGAAAGTAGTAGAATTAAGGTACTAATCAAAGTCTGCCTAGCTCTTAGTATGTTAAAATTAGTATACATTCCAGACTCTCTGCCTCATTTTCATCTTTATCCTCATCCTTGTATTCCACTCTATTTATCTGCTCTTTTATTTTCCCCTTCTTTTACTCCCTCTCTCAATTTATTGAGAAACAATACAGAGGTGGGGTAATACATGTCTTTACCATACTTGAACATTATTGTGTTCCTTGTCCTAACTTAAAAGTGGATTCAGCTCTTTATATTTCTATTTTTAAAAAGAAATATAGATTCTGTTTTTAGTTATATAATTTTATATGATTTTGAATAAAATTTCCTGTAGTCAGAGAACTAGATAAATACTGTTCATATATTTGTCCTTAAAATAAAGAATATGGAATAACCAGGCAATATCTACAACTGAGATTTCCATAAACAAAACCTAGTGAACATTTCTGATAGGACCCTAAATGTAAAGCAGTGTAGTGGCAATATAGCATCCTAGTGATTTTAATATACATGAAATGTCTGTTTGTTTTCCAGCCCACCATTACATTATAAAAATAAGTACGCATCTCCGGGAGCTTGAAGAAGGTTTTGACAATGTTACTTTAGTGAATACTTCCAGTCTGATACCTAAAGAGGCTGGCTCAAGAGAAAGTTTTGAATTTAAACCAGAACTTTCTGAAATAGAAAACGGCACTAGTTTCTTTATTGCAATTCAAGCCATCAATGAAGCCAATCTCACCTCGACTATTTCTAACATTGCACACGCAACCAAGTTTATTCCTCCCCAGGAACCCAGTGCCCGTGATCTGGGTACCAAGGTTTCTGCAATCAGTTTGGCAGTTTTAGGATTAGCTGTGATTTTATCTATATTTTAAATTAGAAATTATATTAGAAATAAAATTGAATGTTATACATATTTGGTAAACAATTATTTAAAATCTAATTTGCTATACTTGTCTATTATAAAACTCTTTTTAGATAAAAATGACTGTATGAAAGTAATTTTCCTAATTCCTTGAAATCATTAATATAATTAGTTGCTAAATGTATATCAAAATGAGTATACTATTTCTTGTCTTTGAAAAATTAATTTATTAACTCAATATAAGAAGAAGATGCATATTGTATTTTTAAGAAACATATTTAGAGTATGCTACAAGTTCATTTGGTATATGAACAAAATCAGAATTTATCTGAGCTATTTGGAAAATATTTATGTATCCACAATAGAAATAACTTTATGGTAGAATTATTTATGTTTTATTCTTAGTTCTGAATGTCTACTTTATACTTACAAAGTCAAAAAAAGACTGTAAAAATAACTTGTAAAGGTAACTTAAGTAGTCTAAAGAAGTAAGGGTCAAATTTGCTTTTTATCATTGATTAAAAGTAGTATACCAAAAGTGCAAGTGAAGGACTTCTGGCCAAGATAGAGGTGTAGCTAGATACACTTTACCTCCTCACACAACCTAAAGAACAACAACAAATTTTAAATGAAAAAATAACCACAACTGCCAGAAAACCAAACTGTATGGAAGTCCAACAACCAAGGAGATAAAGAAAAAACATTCATCCAGACCAGTAGCAGGGGCAGAGATGGGAAGTGGGAGCAGAGAGGACGCACAGGAAGGTGATGGATGGAGGACCAGGCTGTCCCACATTTGCATGCAGATAAAATGAGAGGAACAGCTGGGGAGGGGGACGGACTGTGCAACCCAGGGTTCCAGTGCGGGAAAAGAAAGCCTCAAAAACCTCTGGCTGTAAACCCTGTGGGGTTGCAGCAGCAGGAGAAACTCCCAGCCTCGCAGGAGAGTCTGTTGGAGGCACCCACAGGGTCCTAGAATGTACACGAACCCACCCATCCTGGAATCAGCACTAGAAGGGCCCAATTTGTTTGTGGGTAGCAGGGGAAGTGACTGAAAGCCAACTGAGAGCTGAGCAAGCGGCATTGTTCTCTCTCAGATCCCTCCCCCCCACACACTGTCACAATGCAGTGACCTGGGTTGCCCCACCCTGGCGAACACCTAAGGCTCTGCCACTTCCAATATGACTGGCACACTGAGACAAAGAAATATGGCCCAAAGGAAAGAACAGATCAAAGCTCCAAAAACAGAACTAAGCAATGAACAGATAGCCAACCTATCAGATGCACAGTTCAAAACACTGGTAATCTGGATGCTCACTGAATTGGTTGAGGATGATTGCAAAATGGAGGAAAAAGTGAAGGCTATACAAAGTGAAATAAAGAAAAATATACAGGGAACCAACAATGAAGTGAAGGAAACTGGGACTCAAATCAACGATTTGGAACAAAAGGAAAAGATAAACATTCAACCAGAACAGAATGAAGAAACAAGGATTCAAAAAAACGAGGAGAGGATTAGGAACCTCTGGGACAACTTTTAACATCCTAACATCCCAACATAGGGCTGCCAGAAGGAGAAGAGGAAGAACAAGAAATTGAAAACTTATTTGAAAAAATAATGAAGGAGAACTTCCCCAATCTGGCCAAGGAAATAGACTTCCAGGAGATCCAGGAAGCTAAGAAAGTTCCAAAGAAGTTGGACCCAAGGAAACACACACCAAGGCACATCATAATTACATCATCCAAGATTAAAGATAAGGAGAGAATCTGAAAAGCAGCAAGAGAAAAAGGAGACAGTTACCTACAAAGGGGTTCCCATCAGACTCAGCTGATTTCTCAAAAGAAACCTTACAGGCAAGAAGGGGCTGGAAAGAAGTATTCAAAGGCAAGGACCTACATCCAAGATTATTCTACCCACCAAAGCTATCATTTAGAATGGAAGGGCAGATATAGTGCTTCCCAGATAAGATCAAGTTAAAGTAGTTCTTCATCACCAAGTCTTTATTTTATGAAATGTTAAAGAAACTTATCAAAGGAAAAGAAGATCAAAAACTATGAACAGTAAGATGACAACAAACACAGCTATCAATGGCTGAACCTAAAAAAAAAAAAAGAAAAGAAAAAGCAAACTAAGCAAACAGCTAGAACAGAAACAGAAACACAGAAAGGGACATCGGAGGGGAGGAGGAGGGGGGAGAAGGGGGGAAAAGGTACAGCGAATAAGAAGCATAAATAATTAGGTACAATATAGACAGGGGGAGGTTATGAATAGTATAGGAAATGGAGAAGCCGAAGAACTTATATGTACAACCCATGGACATGAACTAAGGGGTGGCGGGAAAATGCTGGCAGAAGTGGGGGCGGGGGTGCAGGGCAGAGGAGAATAAAGGGGAGGAAAAAAATGGGACAACTGTAATAGCATAATCAATAAAATATATGTTAAAAAGTAAATAAATAAAAGTGGTATACCAAAGTTTTAACTTAGGCATGAAATGACTATTAGATAGCAAGAATGCTTTTTTATATAAATTGTGTACTATCACAAGAAGTCCTATTTATATTCCGAGATCATTATTAAGTTCTCGGAGTATCAAAAAGATACTCCATCAGGGCATGAATTTTTTCACTACTGCATCTAAAATAGTACTCTATGCATTGTAGGTATTCAATAAATATTTGTTAAATAAAGTAATGAATATTTTAATACCATCAAAGAAATCAAAATATCCACAACACATGATGTGCACATGGTGTTATGAGGACTTGATATAAAGAAAAGTAACCACTTAATAACAGTGATTTAAATCAACTCAGCAGTTCGGGAAGTTAACTGTATCATGTCAAAAGAATTTGTAAACTGTCAAGTAAAATGTAAATTAAGCTAGTAATATAGTAATAGTGTGATTTTTTTTACTGAGAGAGGCTGAGACAGAGGAACAGAGAGTGACAATTATATTAAAGGAAAATCCTTTGTTTATAAGCAGAAAGATTTCAAAAACTCTTTGGTTGTCTGAAAGGAGGAACCTATATAATATATCTGGAAAAATAAAAAACAAAATCATACAGTGTTAGCAAATCAAATCCAGAATATATAAAAAATATATTTTGACCAAGTTGAATTCATCCTAGGAATCCAAAGATGGTTTAGTATTAGAAAGTCAATGTAATTCACCACGTTAACAGATTAAAAAGAAAAATTATATTATCATCTCAATACATGTATAAAAGTACATAATAATTTAACCACCATTCTTCATTAAAAATTAAACCTTTGAAAACTTTATTTACTTGATATTATTAACCTTAGCATCCAAACACTACCATTTAAAGTGAAAAAGAAGTATTAAATCTTCAAGTAGGGATGAGAAATTAGACACCAGAGAAGGAAAACTCTAAATTCCTAAGAAAATAAATCTCTTAAGGGTCTATAAATCATTTTTAAAATATTGTTGACTTTGGAATTCTCAAAAGGTAAGAAGATAATTTATTCTCATCTACATGGCCACTGTACTGAGAAGAGAGTTATAGAACTTCAGCAGTCCTGAAGAAAGTAAGATTCCTATGCAGTAAGGAAAAAAAAAAAAAAGAATAGAAGATACAATAGTCAGAAAGAATGAAACAAAACTGCAACTATTTGTAGGTAACATAGAAAATGCAACAGAATTAACAAATAATTTAAACTAAAAAAAAAAAAGAGTTCTGACAACTTACCGGACACAAGATCAATTTATAAACATCAACAGTGCCAGTCTGATATGTAAAGAGCTTCAAAGTCATCACCCGCGTCCTCACAACACAGAAAAAACTGAATAACTGAAAATCAACCATTCTTTTTAGATCCATCAGAGACTTAAGGTCACACTACAACCTGCTGCCCCCAAATTAGAGGAACGGGCAAATACAGAGAATCACACCTTACCAGGAGCAGATATCTGCCAATGAACCTCAAGCTACAAATGATGATTTGCCAGAGGCTCAGTGTGGCTAAGTTAGAGAGTTAAAAACTTCAGAAACAAGGATAAGAATTACAACAAATTTCAGAAACTTTACAAACAAGAAGAGGGTAGAGTGACATATTTAAAATGTTGAAAGAAGAACCACCAATTCCTCTGGAGTTACATACATCAAAATTGAGGTCTTCTGTTCACATAGAAAATCACAGGCAAAATTAACAGTTAACAGACCAGAGAAGATATTTGCAATGTTTAAAACCTGCTAAGGAATTAATATATGGCATGTATAAAGAACAGCTGCAAATGAATAGGGAAAAGACAGGAAACCTCAATGGAAAAATAGGCAAAGGATATAAATTGGCAGATTATTTAAAGGGAACCGCACTCACAAATAAGTGTAGAAATCGGAGATGTGCACCAGCATCAGAGAAATGTCAATTACAACAAGCTACATCTTGACATCAATCAGATTAATAAAAATTAAATATCAGATAACACCAACTGTAGATAAGAAAATAGAGAAATAATATTTCTATCCTCTACCGGCAGGAGTGTAACTGAAGCAGTATTATGGAAAATAATTGGTGGTACATAATTAAGTCAAATACACATTATCCCATACTCCAACAATTAGACACCTGGAGATAAACATCAAGGAAACCAGCACACAAATGAAAAAAGCAACTTACATGAGGATATTCATCACAGAGTTATTTTTTAGTTGCAGAAAGCTGAAATTTACTTTAGGTCTCCATAGCTACATAAATAGATGAGTAAATGCAGTGTGTATACCGTCTGAAATACTACTTAGAAACAATACAGTAGATACATATATAGCAATAAACTAGACCTTAAACATGTAGTGTTGAGTGGAAAAGGTTGAAACAAAGTAAAATCTATAAGACAACACCATTTATATAAATTAATACATAGGCTCAAAAAATATAATACTTTATTTTACCAATATACATAACAAGTGCATTCCAGTAAAAGTCTTTGAGGGTAGAAGAAATGGAATAAGGTTGTGGATAATGAAAATAAAAATAATTAAAATGATACAATAGAGGAGCCATGGATCAATGATGATAGTGTACCATCAACTGAAGAGAATTATTAATAGAATTCTATACCTGAGTTTCCAAGGAAATGAACAAATTATTAATAATAAAACCCTAAAACTAACAGAAAAGAAACCCTATTAAATGCAACTCACTGTGTTAACAAATTAAAGGAGAAAAATAATTATCCCAACAGATGCAGAAATGTCACTTGATATATTCAACTACCTATTCATGATTTTTTTTTTAAAAAAAAGAAACGTGGGGAACTGGGAAAAGTGCCTAGACAATTCCATACCAAGCATCATATTAAATAGGAAATATTAAAAACATTTCCATTAAAGTCAGGAATGCATCACGATACCTGCTAGCACTGCTGCTAACCAATATCATGCTGGAGGTCCTAACCAGTGCAAAAAGATAAGATAATGAATAAGTATGAGTGATATAAAGTGACAAAACTGTCATTATTTGAAAACCATTATCATTGTCATAGAAAATCCTGAGAGATGCAAGCTAAACAATGCAAATATGAAATTCCATGTATGAATTCAATAATGTTCCCATTTATAAGCAAATAAATTAGAAAAAGTAATTTTTTAAATTCTCATTCACAACAGAAATAAAACTACAAATTACCTAAACAATATGGTGATTGCTGGGGTGAGAGAAGTATAAGGAGACTAAGTGGTAATGCAAAAAGAAAATATTTTTAAAAGAAATGTTTTTTTAAAAAATTTTAAATAAATTTTTTAAATGCGTGGGGGAAAAAGAAGTGAAGGGGCAAGTCAAGGAACATATAGCAAGCACTCATGGACAAAACCACGTGGGGTTTTGCCCACGTGGGGAAGGATTGAGGGAGGGAGAGGGGGGAGGGGCAGGGGAAAGTGGTGGGGGGAGGGCAGTGATAAATGTATTTGGAAAAATTAATTAATTTAAAGAAAGAAAAAATAAATTAAAAAAATTATCCATGTATTTAAAAAAAAAGAAAAGAAAACAGCTGAAACATATCCTGAAGGATTTTCAACTTTTTTAAACTAATGAGTGAAATAAATGATAATTCTGCAAGAAAAATAAGAAAAAAAAAATATTTTTAAAATAAAATAAAATACCTATCCAAAAATATAAGAAATGATAAAATGTTACAAAAAAAATTTTAAGAGATCAAAGTGAAGAAATTCATTATATTTATGTATTTAAATAGTCAATATCAAGATTTCAATTCTTAGAATTTTGATTACATATAAATCAAGAAAGCTTAATGAAAAAATAATTTAAAGACACTAAAAGTTTATGACAAATAGGAAGCAGATAGTTTCAGATTCAATAAAAGGGAGGGGAAAAAAATAAAAGTACCAACAACTCAACAGCCAATGTACAGAGAAGAAAAATTAAAAGGCCAATCACATGAAGAGATGAATCTTAATCTTGAAAGTAGGCAGAGAAAAGCAGATTTAAGATTACACACGCGCATGCGCGCGCACACACACACCCACACCCACCCCCCCACCCACCCCCATCTCCACCCAATAATAATATCTATCAAGCTTTGGTGAAAATGGAAAGAAATAGGGACTTTCTGTTTAAAGCAATTTGGTTGTATTTAGTAAAGTAAAAAATATGCATGAACTTATAGGTAGATCCCTTAGAGAAATTCTTATATATATAGACATTCACTACAGCATGGTTATTAAGAGTGAAAACAGGAAATAATCTAAGTGTCCAGAAGTAGGGGACTTGACAAATAAAATGTAGTGTATTCATGAGATGGGCCTATACAATAGCTAAAAGAAACAGATTATATCTACCAATCTATAATCTATAATAAACAGATTTCAAATATATAATATTAAGGAAAATGGTAGTTGCTAGGCACAGATTGATATAACATACATAAATTAAAACCACATAAAATATACAAAATTTTTTGTAAACATAGATAAGGAAGACCATTTTAAAAACTGTTTGAGCAAGACACACTAAACTCTTCATGGAAGAAGCTTCAGAAGAGGTAGAAAAGTGAATGGGATGGGGGGGATGTTGGGTTAGTTCTCTAGGGCTCAAACTTAAACCAGTACTGTTTCAGCCCTTTGCAAAAAATTCAAGATATATTTTCCTTGCATCTTTGTTTTGTTGGTTAGCAAGGAAAATAAGACCAGCAACACTGAAAAAAAAGAAAAGAAAAGAAACCAACAGAGACAAGACGGAAGGAGGGAGGTGTGGGCAGGGAAAAGGAAGGGAAGGGGCAAGTCAAGGAACATACAGCAAGGACTCATGGACAAAGCCAAAGTGGGGAAGGACAGAGGGAGGGAGGGGGAGGAGAAGGGCAGGGGAAAGTGGTGGGGGGTAGGCAGACACAAATGTACTTGAAAAAATAAATAAATTTTTTTAAAAAATTTAAAAAATAGCAAACACACGCACAAAAAAGAATCTTTAAATGAATATTTAAAAGCATGCATTTTAAACAAAGTAATCCAAACATTAAAAGTGTTCATTGTCATTCTAAAAATAAATAAACAAATAAATATTGTTCTTCAGCCAAAAAAAAAAAAAATTCAAGATATAAAAATTAACAATGGTTAATTCTATATCAGAGAAATGGGAGTATTTTCAAAATATTCTATTTTTCTGAATTTTAAAAAATTTCTCAGTATAAAAAAATTTACTCTGAATTTTAAAAATTACTATTTCTAATTTATTTGCTTATAAATAGGAACGTTATTGAATTTCATACATTGAATTTCATACTTGCATTGTTTTGCTTGCATCTCTCAGCAAATAAATTTATAAACATTTTTAAAATATAAACTTAATTTAGGGACATTAGTTTGTATGTCCACACATCTCGATCCAGCTCTGGATATATATGAGGGCATACAACATTAAAAAGGGGATACATCGCTTCTCGGCCTTTTGGCTAAGATCAAGTGTTCTTATCAGTTTAAAAAGGGGATAAATAGTTTACAACATGACTTTAACTAAGATTAGTTTAGACTTACTTTGGTAGGCAATGGAAACTGCAGATGCTTGAGCAAATCATGATATGGTCTGAGCTGTCCTCTTAGGACTATTCATCCTTCAAACTTGTGTAAAGGAGGCTGAAATAGAGAGATGATTTTGGAGCCTATTAAAGAGACCTAAACAAGAAGTGATTAGTATTAGTATTAATAAATGGTAAGTAGTAATAAACATGGAAAGAAGAGTGAATCTCATCTCTCTCTACTTCCTTTATTATATCCAAGAACCAAAGATACTTGAAAAATGTTGACTAAGTACAAAATACATAGTCTTAATTCTTAGATCCTCAATGGAAGTATTCTCTAAAATTTTGAAAGTTAAATAATTAACCTTTGTGTGTAAACTGTCTATAGAGAAATTTTAAGTCATTGAGGTATGAACTTGACCTTGCTATTTTGCATATTCTTCTACCATGGTCAAATACGAGGGGCTTTTTTATCCATAGTATCCACAAAATTAATATCTGTTTTTCTTAGATTGAGACATTTCTAACAAAAATAATAAAAACTATGATTTATTGAACACAACTTATTACATGCCAGTCACTGTAATAGGCACTTTCCATATATTTTCCTATTTAACCTTTACTTTGACATTGTTTGGAATGAAGCAGGAATCTTATTATATCTCCACTTAACTAATACGGCAAATGAGGCTCACAGATACGAAATAACTTGCCCTTAATTAGACTAAGTTAGTAAAAAATGGCACTGAAATGCAAACCAAGGTCTTCCTAATTCCAAGTCTATGCTCCTTCCATCACCATCCTAATCTCTTCTACTAAAAAATATCATTTATTTAGCTGTCACATAAACGAAATCCTAAATTCCAAGTGGCAGTAAATATTGACAAGTTCCCCATTATTTCAATATCTTTAATTTAATTTCATAAATAAATAATTATATGTTATGCTATTTCTTTTAGATTTTTTTATAGCATCTACTTAACCTCATCAAACTAAGGATTATTTCTATTAATTGAGCTATTTTTAGTTATTGTCCTAACTTATTGACCTTAGATCAAACATTTAAGTGTTTAACAAAGTGTCCAGCATGTAGTTAGTGCTAAATAAGTATTAGCAGCTTTTATTATCTTATTATTATATTTCACAAATAATTTATTAGCGATAGAGTTCAGTTCTTTGGTAAATAACCCAAAATCTCTATTATCTTTTACAGCACAAGAGGATTATATTCTCAGTGTTCAATATACAATCATGAAGCACCCACAATCTTATCTCAAAAATATCTTTAAAAATTATCTCCGTTAAATTAGAAATATGGAAATCATCTAACAGCTCACCTGAACACTGGAATCAGAGTACTTTAATTTTATAGTAATTAATTTTTTAGGTTAGACTGACATCTAGTGGAATGACTGTAGCCAACCCAAAGATTTTAAATACATAATTTTTCCAAAATCTAATAAGATTCCATTAAGTGAAAGAGCAGTATCTTTTATGTAAATGTTTAAAATTAAAAAGTAAAATCAATTTGAGTATTGTCTATATCTGGCACTATACTAAATCCTTCCATATACCTTATCTCACTCATTTATTTGTTTAAAATACGTATTTAGCACAAAGCAGGCTAGGCACCTATACAGAATTTTTACAAAGCAGATTATGATCCCTGTTCTTTTAGAGTTCATAGACCAGTGAGGAATAAGTTACTAAACTAATCATTATATAAATCATAAAATTATAAATTGTAATTAGAGCTATGAAGGATTTTAGAAGAGAACCCCAAATTTAGTAGGGAGTTTAGGAAGGGCCTCTCTAAGGAAATAATATGAGAGCCAATGTCTAAAAACTAAATAGGAAGAGGGATTTAAGACAGAGGGTGTCACACTGCGCAGCAGCTATAGGGGCGCGCAGCACTCCCTGAAACCTGAGGGAAACCAGCCGGGGCCAGCTGAGGTGGGAGCAGGGCTTTGAAACCCACAGAGCCTGTCCCAGGGTTATCGCGGATGAGGGGGAATAAACACAAAATGTTGCAAATATTTCTCTGTTTGAGAGGAGAGCAGACAGAGCACTTCCTTCCTATTGGAGAAGGCCATGGCACATCCCCCTAGTGGGGAAGGCACCATCACCCTTTGTTCCAACATTTTTATTGAAAAACTTATCAGTGGGCTAGGTAACAGGAATGCATACGTACACCCGTTACATTAGCATGTTAAGTGTCACGGAGAATAGGTACCTTTAAGAAAAAGAATGACATGAATTCACTGATTTACATGGATCTGAGAGGAGACCAGTCTAAACAAAAGAGAATGAAGATAGGGGCAAGTGCCTTAATGATAAACGGTAAGGGGTGTAAATAACGTGAAGGTCCTTCGCAGCGTGAGCTGCTGAGAGATCTGAGGGAGGAACAGAGCACACTCTAAAGAATTTACTTTTAGGCCTGATTCCCTGGCAACCGCCAGATCTGATATAGGGCTGTTTTTCCTGCACTGTTAGCCAGGCAGGGGGAGAGAACCACCAAGGGATAAGGAGACTGCTTTTCGGCTGTGATGAGGACTCTTGCCCTGTCCAAGCCAAGCCGAGACGTGCGGGGGCCTCTTTGCCCCTTCTCCGTGTCCCCCAATTTCTTATCTGCTGCCCTTATCAGCCCAGGCCTGTCTTAGGTTGCCCCTCCCCCAAGGGGTCTTACGCGTCCTTGGCCAGGACCATCCCCAGGCAAAGCAGAGGGGCAGGAGTCTCTTCAGGAGACTGTTTCTCCAAGGTCTCCTGATTTCTTCCAGCCTTGGGGCCCTCCAGTCTGTTGGCAGGGTTACAGCTCCTAAAACGAGGGTGGGCGTTTCCCAACAAGAGGGAATAGCATGTTTGAAGGTTCTGAGGTGGAAAAAGGTTGTTGCCCAAATAATTGAAAGGGCAGTGGAGTTATAGTTGCAAGGGAGACAGTAGTATCAGATGAGTTTAGCGAAATGTAAGTAGGGCCTTCTAAAAATAAGTCAATATTAATTCAGGATTTATCACTTTATCATAGGAAAAATGGAAGCCATTTGAAGTATTTAAACAGGAAAAATATATGATGAAATACATGGATTTAAAAGAACACTCTGGCTCCCATGATGAAATTAATTGAAAGGAGATGAATGTGAATGGAGGGAGAACAATTAGGACACACTGGGAAAATATTTCAATCATCGAAACAACAGATGGTTTGGTCTCAGACTATAGTGGTTGCTCTCAAAGTATATACAGGGTGGGGCAAAAGTAGGTTTATAGTTGTAAGTATGTGAAACATATAGCTTATTCTTCTATTATTATTTATTAATTATTGTATTATTTTCCATATGAACAACTGTAAACCATTTTTTGCCCCACTCTGTACTTTTTCATACTAATAATTGGCACTTTTGAGCATATGCTAGGCATTTACATGTATTATATCATTCCATTCTCACAGCAACCACTTGAAGTAAGCATTGTTAAAATCTTGGTTTCACAGATTAAAAAACTGAGGCTCAGAAAAAAAAAGTTATAAACCCATAGCCACACAACTAGCAAGTAACAAAGCTGGGTCTCTAATTCACCTTACTGGTCTTAGGGGAACCCATCTCATCAAAACAGTTTAATTATTAGCAATCCAGTCTGTTTTGCGGCAATGCAACTTTTTCTTGTTGCAAAAGGGAATAATATCCATACACAAAGAAAATCAGTTTTGTTCTTAAGTTATTTTCCCCAGTATGTTTATAGTTTGTAGCAATTAGGGGCAGGCTTTTTCATAATTAAAGAGAAAGCATTAGCTACATGTGACTTAAGAAGATAAATTGTTTGAGATAGTATAACTTAGTAAAAAGTGAAGTTATTCAAATATCCACTAAGCCAGACACCTGTTGCATTCAAGGAAGGCACCTCTGCAGATTTGTCAAGATACTGAAAGTAGATTCAGAAATTGGTGATGAATTGGATATTGGAAGGAATCTAGGGGTGAGAGACAAAAAGGTATTGAAAATATTCCCATATTTCTATCTTGAACAACTGAGCAGGTAGAAGTATTAATGTGAGAAAGAGTGGAAAAAGAACTGATGTGAGAGTAACACCAAGCCTTTATTATCAAAGAATAACTCAGAGAAATGTAGTTATTTATCTGCAAGTGTTTTCACATACAGGGAGACAGTCACTAGACTACTGTTAAGGGACAAAGGCAAAAACTGTCCTTATGAGGACAGTTTAGGGAGACTGTGTCTTCTTTCATGCATCCTTAGAGGTAAACTGATTAGTTGACAGCAAAGATGTCAGTTTAGGCAGTCCGTCCATTCAAAGGTTGTCCAAGGATAACAAAGAAAGCCAGGTTAATTGTATTGAATTTTTCCCAACATCTGCGAGTTCGCTATGGGGCATACGTGGCAGGCTGGCCGAAGGTAACGGTGCCTATTAAGACTCTGCCATTAGCATCTACACCGTAGCTGAGCCAGGCCTGCATCATTTCCCTCATCAGTGTTTCTCAACTCCCTCCTTTTGGTTAAAACAAACCCCAAAAGATGTGCATTTTATCATCATGGTTTCAGTTTCCCATCTGACTTAATATTATATCTGTTGGATGTCAACTCAAGATTGTAGATGTGAAACAATTTACACAGAATCAAATTTCTCTAGATTTGATTCTGTTGACTGGACAGACTAAATGAGCCAGGAAAATCATGCAGGGTCTTTAAGAGAGGTTACAGATTTTCTTCTTTATTCTAAGAATATTGAGAAGCCACTGTAGGTTTGCATCAAAAGAGTTATTTGATTAGAACCTTAATTTCAAAAATTTAGAAAAATGTCATGATATATGAGGCCTGTCCAGAAAGTATACAGCCATGTAATATGAAAATTAGACTTATAGAAAATTTATTGAAGAAGGGACAAGATACAAGAAGCATTGTACATAGGACGATGCCTCAGTTCCCTTCAAAGTAGGCACCCTAAGACCTCACACAGTTCTTCCTGTCGCCATCAGCTGCCCCGTCATATTTTCCTGAATCTCATTGACAGCCTGAAATCTCTTTCCTTTCAAAGGTGATTTTAGTTTTGGGAAAAGCCAGAAGTCGCAGGGCACCAAATCTGGGCTGT